AATAAATTTTTTGACAAATTGTTAATATGTCAATTTTTGTAGTTGTTGATTTATTTATATCATTTTTTTATTGAATTGTTTATTTTTTATCAAATGTTATATGAGTGACAATATTTTTTTTTGACTAGTGTCAATAATTTATTGTTCTTTAGAATAATCTATAATAATAAACTATAGGTGATAATTTTGATAGATAAAGAATATAAACAATCTATCAGAAGAGTATAATATTGTTTCCTAATTTGATTTAGAGGATCTAGTTTAGATTTTGTTTTGTTTAGTTCAAACTAGCTTAGTGAACACTTTATATTTTTTAAGTAGTATAGTTCTTTAACTAATAATATACAAATATGAGTTAATCATTATATAAATAGTTCATATAATATTATAGATGTTTTAATATCTCAATAATATGATATATTATGATAGCATAATTGTAGGTTAAATATATATATATATATATTTATTTATTTATTTAAATATCTTTTTTTCCTTTTTCAACTTATCTCTTTTATAGTTTTTTGTATTCCAATGACTTGATATGATATATATAGTAATAATCGGTTTTATAAAGTGAAATATTATTTCCAAGGTCAACTTAAAAGTTATTATTTTTTACAACAAGTTTGTTAGACTTGATGAATAGTATATATTATATGTATTCAATTGATTAGAAAATTACAATTTAGCCTGGTTATAGGTATTGCAAAAAAAAAAAAAAAAATATAAAATCTTAATATGCACCATGCGACTATAGAACAATAGACAATGGATTATAAAAATAAATTTATTGATCAATAAAGTATCCGAAACCTTATATACAGTATAAAATCTTAATAACTGAAAGAAATCCTTAATTACTTTAATCTCTTTTGAGCGGGATTATGTAATCGATGCTCCAATAGTATTTAAGTAACTCAAATAATACCAGTTAGCCGCACACAACTTTATGTCATACCAGACATGACATGATTTATGGCACGTATTCTTGTTTATTCGTTCGCCGTGATAACCTGATCGACTCTCTCACATATTCTTCACCGATTTCAGACTATTGCACATAAGGGAGGTAAAAATAAATGAAATTCACGCAATCCAGTAATTCCGAACTCGGCTCCACGAACTGGGTTGTACTCTCCCTTACCGCTTATGGCAATAGCGAGAATTCCGATCACAAAGAGAACAATCCTGAGAGAGAAACGAAAACATTTCTCGTCAAGTCTGTGTTCAAGAGCGATCGATATGTTGTGTTGGTCACCGACTTGAGAAGTATTTGGTTTGAGGAGTTGAGAGAGAGAGAGATCATGGAGCGTGCCAAGGTATGAATCGTTCGGTTAACTCATTTTCTTTCATGTAAAACCTGATCATAATCGATTATCTTTTCAACAAGGACGTCGGATCGGGGTTGGACTCCTCTGAAGAAATCCAAGTGCCCAATCTGTTGACCCTACTCGCGGGACTTTTGGAAACGCAAAAAGAAGATGTGACTTATGAATTTGAGATCGTGAAGAATGCGGTAATTTATTTTCACATGTTTTTGTTGGTTCGCGTCGTCTATAATTAAATCAAGCGCTATATCGCTAAAAAGTTCAGGCTAAACACATCAACGGATCTGGGTTTGGTAACTTTGCGATGGGTATTCTTCTGTGAAGTTATACCGACATCGTCATCGGCGGGTGTTACAGTTTCGGAAGATATATTCGATGGACCTGCCATTCTCTACAATCATCTCACGCTACCGATGATGAGTGTCATGTTGGGATATATGCAGCAGGTCGACGAGTTGGTTAAAATGGTTAAAGATAAGGAGAATGAATTGGCGGATGTGGCTGAAGGGAGAATGTCGACAAGGAGTATGTAATTTATTATGATTATTATTATTATTATTATTATTTATTTATTTATTATTTGTGTGAAAGAGTGCTATTCATCTGCGAAAATTATTTAGAACAAAAAACGGGTCAGTTTGACGAGGACAAATTGGAAGAGATCATGAGAAAGGTAGATAGATAATTAATTGAACACGTGTAATTTGTGAAAATTGAGTTTAACCAGATAAAATTATTTAGAAAATAACAACTCTTCAGGTTGAACATGCGAATAAAAAAGAGTTTAACCCAGTTTACAAAATATTTGCCGATACAAAAACGCGCACTTTACTAAGAGAGGTTACAGAAAATGCCATATCAAAGCCAGGGGCAGAGGGCGATCCGTCACAATCGACTGATTTAGGCTCTGGTTTGTCTAGTCTACATAAGATACCACCCGAAACGCCACCAAACTCCCAGTCAAGTCGCATTGGTTACGATTCAAGTCAATCGACCATTATTGATGAGGATATAGCAACACGGCAACCAGTAGATTCCAAATCTTTGGAAACTTCGCTTAATGTTGGTGGAGCTGTGGCGTTATCTGGTGAAGTTAAAAATGAAGAAATAGAGGTAGTCAGTCCATTTTCGGATCGACCACGCACAAATCTCGTCACATACTCATGTTGGTCCTCATTTATGATCTATAGGAAACGGTCCCAACGCAGAAAGAGTTGAAGAAACGTCAGCAGATTAAGGATAATCAAAAGAAGTACGAGGAGGGTTTGAAGAAAAGGAGAAGGAAAGTTTGGTAAAATCGGTGATAATTTTGTCGGAATGTAACGTGCAACCGTCGTGCGTTATAATTAATTAATGTAGATCACACAAGTCTTGAAAATATACCGAAACCGAAAATGATTTATTGAAGAGATAAAATAAATATAAAAATACATTGATAATAATCAATATAAATACATGATGAGAGGAATAAAAGTACATTTTTCTAAAGAACAGATGGATCATCATCCGAGTTTCAATTCATAATGTCGCAATCAAAACAATCAAGATCGTGTATATGCTCAAACCGACAGCACCCGTCATCGCCACATATCTACCGCTTGTGACGAAAGGTTTGTCATGATCGAACACGTCCAGGTTACTTTGTCGGCGACTGTATGAAATGAACAACATCGCACAGCCGAAAGCCACGAATAATATTCCGATGCTGTAGAAGACTTTCTCGAAAATTCGCAGTATGACCATGGAGAACCCAAATAGCGCCAAACACGTTCGCCAATATGAACCTTCAAAAGTTCGCTGGCGGGCTACATTTTGATTCTTGTTCAGAATTCGTTTCGAGGTCACAGAAATCGGGATTTTGAAAAAGGAGATGGTAAACGAACCTACCTCTATCTTTCGTTAATTCCGAGATTTTTCGAGAGTTTTTTTTTTTTTTAAAAAAGAGGTTTAATACATTTGATAAACGTACTACGAGTCCACCTGATTACAGCATGTTTACCTGATTTCCACCAAATCCTCGTCGGAGATGGTGTATAGGTCGATGGGTTGTCTGCAAGTCATTTTTTTATGATTCCGGGATTAATGGTTTCTATTATACTTGGTGTTCAGTTATACGAATATTTTAAATTGAAGTGTGAGGTGCTTTTATACCACGGAATTTGCGGAAAAACAAAAAAAGCAAATGTAGGAAGTTGACGAAACAAATTTCATATACCTATTAACAACGAAGATCGTATCTTATAAAGGAAAGTGAGACAATACGGAATTTACCATCGATTTGATTTACGTAATAATTTTAACTGACATCGTTAAACTGATTACAGGTGTAACATGATAAGAATTTAATACTTATTATAGAAAGATCAATTAGATAAATTTCTTTGATGATGATGATGATGATGGTGACGATGATGATGATTAACAGCGATACTGCGCATTTAAAAACGATCTCATCACACGCGTCTATCTCCATCGAGTGTTTGAGAAAATGGAAAAGCCACCCCGATCATAAATAATATGGTCAGCACGATGTAACAAGAAGGGCTGATATTTTTAACGATTTTCACTTTGCTCCCATTCGAGCTACTTAACTCCTGGGCCTTCAAAGTTTCTTTCGGTGGTGCAAACAGAGTTTTGTTCTCCTTGCCCGGAGTGTCCCATATCGTTAACGGTCCCGTGACTCCGAAGACAGTACGCATGTGTTCGTCAACCATCGCGTTCGTTTCGATCCTGATATAAAACAGTGATGAGTTTTTAATAACATTCTCGCCGAATTCGTTGTCACTCTTTATTAACGGCACGGTCCACAAGAATTCATCCGATTCCACATTCGAGGCTATTGGCTGCGACCATTTTGAGGTGATCTTGGGTTCGCTGCCGTACGTCACCAAAGAACTTCCGAATGACTTGGGGTCGTAATATAAGGTTATCAGGAAATCGGTTAGGTTACTTGTGGGATGACAGTCGGAATCCTTGACCCAACGAATGTACACGCGATAATATGGCACTAAAATTGTGTTTGGAGGGGGTGTCAATATGTTGATGCAGTAAAAATCTTCAGGTGTCCACGGAGCACGGATGTTAAGTGGCTCTTCGTTCAACATGGTTTTTAGGCTTTGGGGTTTGAACGCGGATGAATCACCGATGGCCAAAAGGACCAGCAAATAATAAAGAGTGAAGAGAAAGCTATGCGGCGATGACATCTCTCTTTGATCGCCATGGGCAGGGCTTTAATATCGGTTTTATATCGAAATGCTAGACCTTGCGAATCAATGAATTGTTGATGATTCATCATTGGTGTGATGAAACGTTCTATCAGATCAAGATTCCAAAAGGACGAGAATTCTTGGTCTTCAATCACAGATTAAAATAAATTAATCACATCTTCAAAAAATTTTGTACATTATTAGTAGCGGTTCTTATTATATATTGTATTTGATATTTGTATAATTGATTTACACATTCATTTCGAAACACCTATCTTCATAAGTGACGCTCAATGTGTGAATGGTTTTATTAAAAATTGATTCTAAAATATTGCGTGGTCTATCTATCTAATTAATTAATTGTAGAGTTTGAAACGTAGGATATATACAGTGCGCAAACTGTTTTTCCGATGATAAAACCTATTTCGGTAATTTCTTTTCCGTATAGATGTATATTAAAATTCTATTAAAAGGGAAATTCTATTGATTAACATTGTTCGTTATTACTATATATATATATTTATTTATTTATTCTTTTTTTTTTTTTTTTTCAGTGAAAAGTCCGATATTAGGTGAGTAATGTCACTCACTATGTCGATGAAAAAAAATTCGTATGTGTATGCCGTAGATCTCCACGAGATTGATATCGTCAACTCGATTCTCTCTCAACCTTTGTGTCGTCCAAATTGTTTCCTCAATTCCTTCATACTTTTGCGAGGTTTTAAAACAGGCGTAGTTGTGGCCGTACCCGTGCTTGTTGTCGATGGCATCGTCCCATCAATTAAATTAGAGTTGTCAAGTGTTGCTGCGTTTTCCTCTCCTAACGCGCTCAGTTCGAGTCCCAACCCGGTGACAAAGACTCGATTCGCGTCCAACATGCTCTCATAATCAACTTCCCATGCCCCGTTTTCCTCAGTCACCATTCCTCCCCCAATCCCAATCCCATTCTCATCAACTCCGCCCAAATTTCTATTTAGATTGTCGAGCCTATCATCATTATTCATTTGGCCGTGGTGGTTGGGTTTGTGAAAATGATTCTTGAACTTTCGTCCTTTTCTATCATAGTAATTTTCGATGTCAATTTCCAACAGCGTCCTAATGAATTCGTAAATCATTGTTCTGATAAGTTCGTGACGTTTTTGTGAAATTTGCGAGGTCGATGAGGGAATGGGTGATGTCGGAGGGGAGGGGACGAGTTTTGGTGAGGTGCGAGAGGATTTCGGCGAATGATCCTTTTCTCTATGATGGTGGTTGATGATGGAGGGTTTTGATTTGAGGGTCGACGTGGATGATGGTGAGCCGGATTGATTCTGACGATTGAGAAATTTGAAAAGTAGAAAGATGGCAGAATCACGGGCCTTTGGAGAATAGTAGGTAGTATTTTCGCCTAAGTACCGGAGAGGGAAGATGTCAGTTAATCTTACCCTTGCGATCTTTCTAACCAATCAGTAACCACCAAAAAAAAAAAAAAATTACACACCGATCTCTTGCCTCATTAAGTCAGCAATGTCGCTCCTGATGAATCGAGCGAAACTATTCTCTAGTAGCACGAATATTGCACGCTTGGCCTCGTCAAAGCAATGTCGAGGATCGCGTTGACTTTTGATGGAGGCAACAACAGATTTGCGAACCTTGTCGTCGACGTTGACCTCGAATTGGGAATTTCGGGTCAAATAGGTGTCGTAGATGTGTTGCGCGGTGGCAAATTGTTGCGAGGAGTAGGCGTATTCACAGGATTCGTATTGTTCCACCTCTAGGAAGAAGAACTGGGAGAACGCGGAGAGAGAATAGAAGCATGAGAACGAGGGGGACGAGTGGAAACTGGGGGAACGGGGGGAACGGGGGAAGCATAGTGATGATGAATGGCTAACAAAAGCTTACCAAATTCTCGCCGGAATACTCCTCCAATAATGAATACAAAAAGTAGCACAAGGGTATTTTAGAGTGTAACATCGCCTTCAACCCTTCCTTCTCGATCTCCTTCACACAGATATCAAGCGGTGGTTTGTCACCAAAGAAATTCAATAATTTCCGCGACGACAGCTTGGTTCGTTTCTTATATTGATTGTGATGGTCATAATTGGCAGAGGGTATCAACGGGCGTTGCGGGGAAAACGAGGGAATGGGTTGGGAGAGGGAGCGAGAGTGCGTTATCCCTGGTAGGGGGTTTTCGTCGACGCCACCATTACCGTTCTTGCCGATCATCCGGTAGCGAGGGGTGGAACGAGCGAATTGAGAGAAGGTACGATTGTGGGTTGACGATGAATGCTCGTTGTTGGTAATGTAAAAATCTTCATCCGAGAATGTGTCATCCTCTTCGAGCGGAGAGAATGATGAAGGTAACGTCGAGGGGGTAGGATCATCATCGGTCTCCATCGGTATTAATATTTGGGTTGTGTGGGTGGTGGTGGTGGTGGTGGTGGTTAACGTTTGCTGGGAGTCGTCGGAATACGGAAGATTTGATATAGAGGGACAGGTGGTGGTGGTGGTCGTTATTGTAGAGGAATCGATCATAACGATGGAGTTTCGTCTGGAGTTCGATTGCAGCGTTTCGATGGAAACCGCCGATCCACGACGTTTGGATATTACGTTGGGAGTCTTTGCTGCCAGCAGTAATTTTGTTTTGTCCTCCTCCAAGGAAGAGGTGCTTCCGCCACTATGGATTTCGATTACCGAAGAACGGCGTCGGAAGATGTTAGATCTTGGGAGAGACATCCTTTTTGAAATTCTTTGGGGGAGAGAGTGGTGCACTGATTGATGAATGATTATTATACAAGTGTGTGATTGGTATGATGCAAAGGGGAAAAAAGTAGGCTTTGAAAAAATGTGTTTTTTTTTTTTTTCTAAAAAGGATCAATATTTTATCAAAAAATATTTCTCGTTCGGGGGGGGATTTCAATGAAATGTTATTTTTTGTACAAAAATGAAGGTTGAAAAAAGAAATATTTTATTGCATGTATTATGACATCTATACAAATAAATTTTTCGTTTTCAGCGTCCTCTTGCGCTTCCTTTTTCTTTTTCAAAAAAAAAAAAAAAAAAATCTAGGGATTATCTCTAATCGTTCGGTTTTTTTTTTTTTTTTTTTTTGTCAAGCGTCTTTTTGCGCTCCACGTTAACGGATAAGAAGAGAAGAATCGGGTAGTGTATATATACCATACACAGTACGCACATTATATACGATTTGTGTATTGTATTTGTGCTTTATCAATAAAAGACGCCTTTTCTTTTTAATAAATAAAATATCTATACCAAATCAAGTATGATGCCCAATGCCCACATAAATTTAAAGAGAAAAAAACAATACATGCCGATACAGTTATGTGTGTACGCACAGTGCATAAGGCAATTATCATGACAACAAAGTCACAAAACGATATTAAAGAGTACAAAGTTGCCAAAGGACTTGCACGAAATCATCCAACACTACACGTAATTCGGTAAGGGCTTAATTTTCGTGCGTAAAGTCTCATGTACATGTGGAGAAGTCGGTTTCAGGTTTGAGTAACCATCGTGGTAATCTCGCCATAAATGATGAGTATGGATTTATTTATAGAATGCAATTCTTTTTTGTCGTTGGATTGATGCAGTACAGAAATTGTGATGAAACTGAAAACATTCAAATTTAATCTTCGTCTTCATTACACGCATAATGCTGTCATTTTTCTCTCTCAAGTTCTCGGCGAAGGCTCGCACGTGCGCGCGCTACGTACCCATATGCGAACGACCGTTTGATAGCATAGAAATTTTCCCATCCTCGCGCTTTTACATCAAATCGAATGCCTTTACCGGGTCGGTCAGTTCAGTCGTCGTCGTCAAAAAAAAAAACGTCGGACGATCCCATTCCATATTACACAGCGTGTGTGAACTACATATGAAACCCAGAGGTTGATAAAACCCGCCAGCCTTTAAAAAAATAGAAACAAGGGGCGTGGTTAGAGAAAAAGAATTAATCAAGGAATGAAAGGTAACGATCGTTTTCCAGAAAAGGTTCTAGAAATCAAGATGTTCAACTCGTCTCACCGTTTAATTAAATGTCAGTGTCATTTGATATTCAGGGCACGTATTGTGCTGAGTAATTTGATTTTATAGAATGAATGAAGGATCGGACTGTAATGGTTGTGTGACGGTTCACATTGAAAAAATGTTGTTGAAGGGAAGAGTGCCGTTAAACTTCTGTAACCTCAATTAGAACGAGTCACGTGTAATTGTCGCACGTATAAAGTTCTTTGTTTTTCCTTCTCTATTTCCCTCGTGCAACGAAACAAGTTAAACAATTAAAACTTACCAATCTATTTTTTTTTTTCCCGTGCATGTAAACGTGTGGTTTCCTAATTGTAGCACAACGTCCTCACGTCATTCGGTGAGATCCTGGCTGGACCTTGCGTGCGTACGCAATTCCCATTCTCATCGTCAATCAAACCGAATTGTTCAATTAAAAGTTGAAATTCTCATCTTTGTTGCAGAATGATTTTATTAATTACCTGTCTTGCATTTCTTTTTTAATGACAGATTGAATAGAAAAGAGACAACAATGATTTTGAAAAGAAGTGTGTCTGCCAGAATAATGAAATGAGTGAAGAAAGAACGTATTGTACGTACACCTGATGGAAGAAGGTCGTCGGACACTTTCTTCTGTCTAGTGCATATGTGATATAAAAAAAAAAAAACAAGAAAGGCCGCCGAACAAGGAAGTGCATGTATTACATGCAGGCAATGGGTGTCTTTAATTTTTGTTCGAATTGATATTCCCGTACGACCGTGCTGCGGTCATAATAAAATATCCAAAATTCTTGCAAAGGAATAGGCGCATTGAAAAATAAGCGTATGCCACTTCACCTTTCCCGTGGAATTATGAGCATCTTTTTTTCCTGAAAAGGAAAAAGTAAACAAAATATTTTTATTATTCATGTAAATATTTTGTTGCCGGTACGAATAATAATAATTCAGAATATCAACAAACGATTTAATCGTAAACAATTACCGCCCGAACGAACACGAATGCGCACTGGAATTTTTTTAAACATATTTGTCCGTGATTGGATAATCTTCGGGAAACGTGCTCGAATAGATGACAATGTTTCTCGATCGCATCTAACTCCCGAATGTATTTTCAAATGTCACCCGAATCACATCCGCACAACGAGCAGAAATAAATGTCACTAAAAAACAAATAATGAATATATGTGTATATACTGTATATGTACTGTATGTGTATTCGTAATAATGTCATAAATAAAATTTACTTTGGCACAGTGGCCACACTATCCTAACAAATCCCATTGATTTTGTCTCGCGAATTCTTGCGCCTCGGCATTACCCAATCTAGCCGCTCGCAACACTAATTTCTTTGACTCCTCCATATCCTTTTTCAGTCCTCCCAATCCTTTCATATAGCATACTCCCAAATGGTACATTCCGTATGGTGTCCCCTTCTCCACTGCTGATATGAATAGTTTCACCGCCTTCGTTCGATCCTTGGGCAAGACCTCGTTGCCCTTCAGGTGTAAATACCCCATCATATCAATCGCATCACCGTCACCTCCCTCTACCGCTCGCTCAAAATATTGTACCGCCTTCTGAACATCCACATCCACTCCCCTTCCGTAGTAATAGTATTCGCCCAATCGAAATAGTGCACGCGGGATATCATTTTGAACCTGTTCAAATTTTTCGAATGCACTAACGTAATCCCGTTTCTGGTGATAATCCTCGGCGATCTTCATTATCTCTTGTGATGAGTCGGCGACCTTCGTTATCTCTTGTGATGAGTCGGCGACCTTCGTTATCTCTTGTGATGACTCATCTTCCTCATCAGAGATTGGCAGATAACGTGCGGTCATCGGCAAGGTGATTTCCAACTCTTCTGGTCTAATAGCTTCTAGGTGTTCGATAATTTCGCTGGTGGTGAATCGATCGTCTGGTGATGTCATGGTGCAATGGGTGTAGATGGCCGAAATGGCGGACGGTGTATTAGATGGAAGTGTCAACTCTCTTCCTTCCTCTCGATATTTATAAACAGCATCCAATTGCAATCCCTGCCACGGGAATTCCTCGGATACAATTTCATAGAATACCACACCATACGAGTATACGTCACACTTTTCGGTGAATGTTGCCTTCTGGTCACCCAGTCGTTCCGGTGCGTCCCACCGGATTTGCTCTTCGAACGTCTCTATCAGCATCACGCTATCAACCTTGGCCCATCGCGCTTTGCGGAAGTTTGTGATCTTGGCCTGAAAGTGTGCGTCTAACAAAATATTGGTGCTGTTGATGTATTTGTGCAAGATACCTGCCTTGTGGAGGAATTCCACACCTAACATTTGACAATATTCGAGGCGGGTGTGTGAATACCGCTTTACCACTCGTCATCGGTGAACAAATGAAATGAAATGGGAAGTACGATGCGATGAAACAATAAGAGAAAAACATACCTCGTGCTATGCCCAAAGAGATGCTGCGCTTCTTACCCCAATCATCTTTCAATGCCTCGCTGGCGATAAAGGACCGCAAATCTCCATTCTCGCAGTATTCAAGTATTAGGGATAAATTGTCCCCCAGCGAGGTGATCCCGATGAGATTAATGATATTCGGGCAAGATGCCAATTTCTGCAGGTACGCCACCTCTAACGCGAATTTGGACTTCTCATCCGACATTTTTTCCCTGGCCATCGTGACCTTGATCACTACCTTGGCGTCCTTTGGTTTTTTGTCGAAATCGGTCGTGTGATAGGTGGCTGTGAACAACCGATCAGTTTTAAATGGTTGCAAGTTCAGCAGCTCGACTGCAGGAATCTTGGTGCCAACCAACACCAGTTGTGAAGGAACGTCTGTTGGTATTTTGTACCTTCGGATCTCCTCCAACGACTCTTTCACCATGGTGTTCAACTTTGCGAAAGCAATCCTGTCCTCCTCATGCCATGTCCTATGCGTCTCCTCATATTCTTGATTATCTACAAAGTGTCTGATGCTAATCGCAAAGTTTAGCCGATGGCATGCTTGGTCCAACCGCTCTTCGATGTCCTGAAATTCGGCTGCAAATTTCCTGGCATAGAAAATCTTTAGACCATATTTGGCTTCCGCGTGTTGCTTCACGACAGCACGTGCATCCTCCAATACTATTGAGAACGCCTTCAACGCCGACGCGAAATTCTTGTCCTCGATTTCCTTAGGTGCCTCGGTCAATTTTTTGAGTAAATCCTTGGCGCTGTCACGGGCAATTTTGGCCTGCTCACTTAGGCGCTTACACTCGGCCTTGCAATGCTTTGCGGCGTACGCAAACGAGACGATGTCATCCACCAACAGCGTGATGTTTCCGGTGAGCACAGCGATCGCTGCGTGACTGAGAACCTTTCCAACTTCGATCATTCCCTCGATGTGCCTTGGAAAGTTGACCGTTTCGGCCACCCCGTCGACCACCTTATCGCTCATCTTACTAATCCCCTCAATTTGCATGTCTAGCATCTCCATCGTGCTCGTCAATCCCGCCTGAGACGTTCTAGTTTTTGATAATCCGTTGTAAACTAGTGGAAATAAAATGGCGAAATGTTCGTTTCTCGAGAAAGGGTGTCTAAGAAGTAAGGAGCGATTATGCTAGTCTCCAGATGAAAATGACATAATGTGCAGTAATTGTGTTACGATCGCTCTCCTGACTACGTAATGTCTTTTTCTAGTAACTTCGGCTTTTTTTTGATCTTCGCACGCCAAATTTGTATTAGCACATGTACTTATGCATCTATGATGCATTATGCGCGAGTGACAAAATTTTATCGCCACGA